TGGGGAAGAAGACGAAACGGGAGGGGGAGGGGGGGAGGGGGTAGGAGAGGACACGTTTGGGTTATGGTTGGGGAATAAGACATGGGTTATATTTTCTTTCTTTAATTTGAAAAGGAAATAATTAAAAAATGGAATAATAAAATAAAAAATTAATTTCAGGTGAATTTTTTTAGTTTTCACGCGCCTCTTTTATGTGTAATACACGCGTGTGACACATGGCAAAAGAGGTGTGTAATTGACACACTTTTAAAAGTTTTGGTGTGTAATACTATTCCCATGTTTAACAAGTGTGTAAGAGGGATTTGAGTACAACGTGAATGGGTAAAGTATGTATTTTACCTACTCTTTAACATGTCAACTGTATTTTTTGGATTTGTCCTGTTACTGAGAAGTTACTAGGACTAACCAGTCCTTTATACATACCAACTCTAGTTTCCTTCTTGTTCTCAACAATTTTGCTGCTGGTCTTAGTGACCACACCATTCTCGTTAATCGTCATTTTCCATCAAGGACACCTCTAAGTGTTTGTAGTCCTCCTCCCTAATGCAGACAACTGGAAGCAAGTTAATTTTAAGTACCGGGGCGAAAATCAAATCTTTGGCCACCTCTATTTCATCTAATTACTGCTTTTGATAATAAATACAACTACCAACACCACAAAAAGATAACAAAATTCACCTGTTCACAAGAAGTAGATCTAGTGTATACAAGTTGCCAGTAGAGATGATGACAAGATAACTATGTTCTCAATGTAAAGGAGTGAGCTTGTCCACCCTTAGCTTGTTCTAAGAAAGTATAGGCAAATGTTGTTAACCTCCTCCCTTTGTAACTTTTGATCTACCTGTTTTCAATGAACTGGAAAGAGACAGAGCCTGTCCTCCTTATGCGGATTCTGAAGAGAAGAAAGAGAAACTGTGTTCCGATTATCTTTCTGACTGATCTCCTCTGTAATAGTCGTAGATATTCTTCATTCACCTTACAGTTCTAACAGAAATAGTACTGAGATTGGGAAAACGAGGATGAGATAGGAACAATAGTTGTATCATACTCATAGTGAAGCTAAGTTGCAGCAAAAAGTAGGCTGAGAATCTCTTTTCCTGCTTCATATAAGAACCCGGGGGGGGTAGGTATCTTTTCCGATCTTATTGTGCACCATTTCTCAATAGAGAGAAAAAAAAAGGACATTTATCCATGAACATGACTGATAAGGGATCTAATCGGGAGGAGGTTACATAAGCAAGTGGAGTACCAGAATTTGTTGGATGGTCCACCATTTCCAGAAACAAGAAAATTAGACTGGTGGATACTAGCAAAAAGGTGTTGACTTGCATAATATGTTGGGCCAGATGCTGGAGGATTTGCAGGTTTGATGTTCAAAAGACTCCGTAGATAACAAGGATTAGCCAAAGAGTAATACTGCAGAAGCTACAAAAAAAAAATTGATCTAGATGGCCCTTGAAGGAGTCTTTTTGAATAAGATTCTGGCAAACTTTAGGTATTTTTTTTATAATGAATGTCAATAGAATAGCATCGACGCCAGACTTCTAAACCACTAGCCTGCACTTATGTAGTTAGTTAATAACATCTAATAAGGGGAGGAACCACACACCCAGTACCTTAAGGACTGGGTGCTATCTAGTTTGTCTAGGGAAGGTTAGTACATAATAGATCTTCAACCTTCACAAATTGGTGCAAGATTGCATCTCTCAGAAGAAACTCGAATAAGTTGTCAGAAAATTTGGCAAAGGCCAATGGTCAGGACTTCTAAGAACAGTAATTTGTTTATCTTTCTATAACAGCCATGGCTCCCGCGGAGAAGGTAGTCTACAGTAACCTAAACCAGATAATGCTGAAAAAGCATGTTAAGTGAAAAAGTATGCAGTTGTTTCGTTCTGTCATAATAGACGAAATTTTGGAGCAAGATCGATCTTCTTTTTTGCCTGCTACATGATCACAATAGTTATCCTTTTATATAGCTAGAAGAGAAGCCAGAGATTTAACAGCCCAACCCGCTAGTGATATTGTCCGCTCTGGGCCTAGGCCCTCACGGGTTTAAAACGTGTCACTAGGGTTTAAGGCTTGTTAACTTATATACCAGCATCCCTTTTATGTTTTGCCGATGTGGGACTCTGCCTAAAGTCAGGGGTGTTACATACACCCCCTCTTATGGACTTAGCGTCCTCGCTGAGGTTTGCCCCACCGCATGGGATTCTCTTATGGACTCAGCGTCCTCGCTGAGGTTTGCCCCACCGCATGGGATTTGCCTAGACTCAGCACTGAGGTTTGTCCCGCCTAACCGGGATTTGCCTAAACTCAGTTGAACTCTGACCCACCATCGGCATGGCTGACACAAGAGTGACTCTGATACCATCTTTAACAGCCCAACCCGCTAGTGATATTATCCGCTCTGGGCCTAGGCCCTCACGGGTTTAAAACGCGTCACTAGGGTCTAAGGCTTGTTAACTTATATACCCAGCATCCCTCTTATGTTTTGCCGATGTGGGACTCTGCCTAAAGTCAGGGGTGTTACAAGAGAGGTTCGACAAGTTTCTATAAGCAGCCATTGAAGTGGATAATCAGAAAACGCATTACCAAACATTCTGAATATTAGTTCAACAGAGGTAACATTCTGAATAACGGGATACCATAAAGGAGCATGCAAGTAAGCACATATGTGTGCACACGTACGCCTGATCTCAACAAGGAAATCTTGGGAAAACATCCAATTTTGCCATGCCTGTATTTGGTATTTGTGAGGACAAATCAACAGAATGGGGCCAAGAGATCTTGCAGGGAAGGTCTCACCATGAAACTGCTAATGAGGAAGGACAAGGGCCAAATCATAGAAACGCAGGGAAGAAAGAGGAAAAACTACAGAGCAAAACTTATGCATCGCTTTAACACTGGCTCCTTTTAACTACAATAACAAGCCAATGCGGAAAATTGTACAATCATCAAATATGCTAAATCATTGCAAATAACCTCAAAATGGGTCGACAAACTATTCATTGCTAGCTTTCTCAGTAATAAACGTACAATTGTCTGTAGGGTAAGAAATCATTGTCTGTAGGGTAAATCATCTAATTACTTGTTGGCAAACTAACATGCTATTGCTATTCAGACATCTTATACAAGCAAAACAGGAAACAGTTCCAAGCATTCCCAAGTTCACTAATTTTAAGATGACTAATAGCCATTCAAAATTCTGATATCAGCTAAGTTTCATCCGTTTATTTCTTTTTGAGACGGAATTTAAATTCAACTGCTAAAATAGTTGGAGAGAAAGGCTAAAAACGAAATCTTTTTATTCAGCCAGCATGAATATTTACACGAAAGAGAGCAAATCACAAAAAGGAAATATGTATTGAAAAATCTCATATACACAAGCATCATACATCTCTCAAAATTCGTATACAAATCCCTGCATCTAAAAATTTTGACAAAAAACTGAAGAACAAGTCAAGTCTCAGAAGTAATGTTCAAAGCCTTGTTCTTTATCCTATACCTCGGGGCTCTAGGAATAACCTGACTAGGTCCAAAGTGAAACTGACCCGGACTATCAGTCATGGGTGCCCCATCATCATACACATACCCGACAAGCTTCCCACAGTTCATGCACATCATTTTGGTCCTTTTCCTTTGGATACCCCAGTAATTGAGGGTCTCAAAAAAAGGTCTGATTTTATCTTCTTTTTCGAACTTGAATTTGGTGGAATCAACGGCGGAGAAAGATAGAGTACCTTTATTGCCTGCTTCGAAGTAAAAATCGGGTGGGTAAAGGTAGGTGGTGTGGAGGTTGAAGTTTGTACCGCATTCTTTACAACTGTAGATCGACGCCATTGTTGATCTTGAGAGGGTTCAGAGGAGGAAAAGGGGTTTTTATGAAGGGGGAATTTGGGGACGATGATCTGGGTTTGCAGAGTTTCAAAACCGCGTTCCCATGGATTTGGCGAAGCGTTGAAAAGTCTGATAATCTAGAAGCTAGGCGGCAAGAAAGTTTTTCCCTTTCCTTTTACTTTTTTTTTTTCTTTTTTTTTTTTTTTTTTTTGATTTTAGGGGTGATTTGGTTTCATGGACAAGGATATTAATCCTGGTATAATGTTTGAACTTACTGTTATTTCATGTTTAATTGTGAGTATTTCTTTTTAATTTTTTCTGGGTAATTTTGATTGCGAGTATTAATTATGCAAACTAGCCAACATTGCACATGCCTAGGAGTGGCGATGGGAGGGGCAGGTCGAAAACGGGTAATGAAAAAAGGAAAAATTATCCGACCCGACCCATGTTTAATACGGATATAAAACGGGTTAACCGGCATGACTTCTTGCATTTGATGACTTTTGGGAGAATTCTTAGTCTCCCTAACTTGAGTAACCCCCAATTTAAGGCCTTACAAATGTAAAAGTTATAGCCTGTTTGGCCAAGTATCAGCTTATTTTGAGAAGTACTTTTTTTAAAAGTATTTTTGAAAAAAGTACTTTTGGAGAGAAGCAGTTTGTGTTTGGCAAATTACTCTGAANTGAAAATAAAATTAAAAAGTACTTAATTCTTTTAATATAAGTTAAATATATTAAAAATCATTCAACAAATATAAAAGTATTCACCGCTAAAGTCACTATATATTAGAAAGCTATCCTAAAAATAAGAAGAAATATTTATACATTAATATCCTAAGTATTAGGTTTGACGGTTATTTTGGTATATACTATATTTTGTTAAAGGCATTTTTGGTAAGAAGAAAAGTCAAAACTGCTTCTGCTTCTGCTTTTGGGAAGAAGCTACTTTTTTCTGCTTCTCAGAAACTGCTTCTGCTTCTTCCCAAAAGCATTTTTTTTCCTCAAAAAAGCTTGGCCAAACACCTCAAGTTGGGGGAAAAAAAGTATTTTTGAAGAAAAAAAACACTTTTAGGCCTCTTGAAAAGCTTGGCCAAACAGGCTATAAGCCTACAAAGGGAATATAAATGATTCCTACCAAGAAATTCTTCAATACTCTTACATCGAAAGATGGTAGATCTTAATTTCATTGGATCATTGTGAAAATTTTGTTAGTGAAAGTGTCCGAGCTACAGTCAATTACGGGATCAAGGGGGNTTTTTTCTGCTTCTCAGAAACTGCTTCTGCTTCTTCCCAAAAGCATTTTTTTTCCTCAAAAAAGCTTGGCCAAACACCTCAAGTTAGGAAAAAAAAGTGCTTTTGGGAAAAAAAGCACTTTTGTCCTCTGGAGAAGCTTGGCCAAACAGGCTATTAGACTCATTGGTTATCCATTGGTTACCCATTGGTTATCCATTTTCTAAATGGATAATATGGTTCTTATCTATATTTGACCCATTTTTAAAAAATTTATTATCCAACCTATTTTTTAGTGAATAATATGGGTGGTTAACTATTTTATTGTAACTATTTTGCCACCCCTACACATGCCGATGCAAATTCGCAAAGTCAAGAGGTTGAATTAATACAATTGAATTGCCTTATACTGGATTTCTAGTGTCTTTGTAACAGATTTGTCGCATACTTATTTGTGGTACCGCTACAAATTGAATAGCATATATAGCTAATGTGACTTTTAATTAATGAAAAGATTTACAACTTTCAAAATTATACTGATAATTATATATAAGCAACGTTGTTTAGAGTTTAGACGTAATAATTACGTACATTGAAAACTAATAAGATACTTTAGTTGTAAAAAAAACATTAAACAGAAACTGACCAACTCACGTTATTTCTACAAATTGAATTTAGGAAAAGAAGTAACTAAGCTCCAACAGAAATTAAGACAAACACACATTGGCCTTATAGCAATTAATTTTACTGGGGTTTACTAAAAGTAGAATCTACCGAATTGTTTCTTCCTTTCGTGTAGGCCACGCCATTATCAACTTTGTCCAGAGATTTATCCCATTCTCAAGTTTGTTAACACACTTGTATATCCAAATTCCATAGCATTTTTTATTCGTAGACTAGTAACATATGATTACAATACATAATTGATATGCAGAAAATATAACCCGAACATTTTATAATACAATCTATCTATATTATATTAAAAGCACGAAAGCCTTTATTAAAATATCGTTCGTTATTTTTACCCTTTAAAATGGAGCTCGCACTAAACAAAATATTCATTTAATTATTCTCCTAATATTTAGTTTTCAGTAATCGAATGAAATTTTGGTTATTAAATTTTTTCTCATTTGAACTATGTATGAAATCTTAAAATTTAGGACTTTAAAATCAATTAAAATTGTACCTTACTTAAATCTTTTCCTTATATAT